GAAAATGGAAACTACTATATTGTGGAAAGGGTATATATTGGGGTTATAGTCCCCCTTCAAGTAGATAAAATATGGCTTTGGGTATATTATAATAAGATCCCCATATACCCCATATGCTGTCTACCTGAGGGGAACTATACGAGGCACAAAGTGGACTTGCCAATGTTCTGAAGCATTGAAAGTAGTACTTTGTTGGGCACGTGCTAGCTTACGAGCGCGTTGGGAAGAAATGATATGCGCTGTTGTCTAAACTCCTAGTATCCCCCTTAGTAAGCCCTATAGTAGTTCCCTATATAATCCCCTAAACCCTAAACCCTAAACCCAAGCCCCCCCTTTAAGGAGTTTAGACTATAGCTCATATGACAAAAGCGCTGGTAACTCGGAATTCAGCTGCGAGCTGATCATTCCTGGCGGGGGTATGCAAGGAGCCCAGAAAGCGTTCTCCACTGCTCGGTTCAGGGTTTAGGGTTTAGGGTTTAGGGTTTGGGGTTTAGGGTTTAGGGTTTAGGGTTCAGGGTTTAGGGTTGAGGGTAGGAACCCAGAAAGCATTCTCCACTGCTCCTTGCAATACCTCAACCATGCCAAACACGTAGATTTCCAATACTGCCCAAAACGGGAGCCCTGTGCCCCTACTTGTAACCTCCCTTTCATCCACGAACCCTAAACCCGATGTAATCCCTGTTGCAACCTGAAGAATCCCAAGGAGCCTGTAGGACTTGCCTGCTGAGAATGCTAAGCATCGGACCCACCAGCATGTCTAACAAACCTTGCGCCCCCTAAACCCTAAACCCTAGAATGAAAAAAGTCCCAGGAATCTGTACCCTCATGCAATCTCTGGGCTGACAGGTAACAGGAAGGCAATGGCTCGTAGCAGACTTGCCAGCCTTTGCCTGGGTTTGGGTTTAGGGTTTGGGGTTTAGGGTTTAGGGGTTGGGGCTCTTCATGCCATGCAGTTTAGGGCTTTGGGCTTCACATCTTCATCCCGTCCCAGAACAGCCTTTTTGCATATTACCTGCCCCCGCCCCCGCAGTGTACTACAAGTATCTACTCCAGCAAGAGAACCCTGAACCCAAAAACCTAAGACATGCAACAGAACATTTCCCAGCTTGGGCCCAGTTGCCTGTGCTGCTGGGGCTCCAGGAGAGGTTCCTTCGTCCAAGGGACCATGGGTTTCGGTTTTATAGGTTTTTTGGGGGGGGGTTAGGGTTTCTTGGGTTTGGCGTTTCTGGGGTTTAGGGTTTAGATGGTTTAGGGTGTATGAGGTTTAGGACTTATAGGGTTTGGGGTTTAGGGCTCACGAATGCCTGGGACCTACTCGGAGTGTCAGGGTAGTTATGAACCAATGCAACGTGCTTCGAACTGACGAATCCCGGAACCCTTAATCCTAAAACCCTGAAACTATGGCAAGCATCGACCAAACGGTGAAGAATTGCCCCTCCAGGCCCTGATCGCTTCCGCTGTACGCCTCTGCGGGTCCAAGTTTACAGGTTGGGGATGTTTGGCATAACACAATGGAAAAAACGTCGATTGGAACATGTTTTTCTTGACCGAAGGCGGTGTCCTTCTTGCAACTACTTCGAACAAGAATCACCCACACCCGGAGACCCAGAAAGGAAAGCCACACAAGCAAGTGCTGCAGAGCTTCTTGCAGGGTCCTACAAGTTGCTAGAGTCTTGTCCTCTTTATGCAGACCACAACAAGGCAGCCACAGCTTCAGAGAACCCAGCTTCGAATTTCCATACTCTTCTTGCGTTGACAAACCCCTGCATGCGCAAACCTAGGACAATGTGGACTTTGGGATATAAACGGGGTACATGAGGATTGTGAGCACAATGAGGATGTATAAGGATTTTCTCGGGGTGCATCGGAATTATACTGGGTTAGGGGGAATTACCATAATGGAGAACCAAGTGGAAAACAACATGGAACAAGAAATCGGAACTGGGAATATGTAGTGTTTTATGGAGATTTGGGATGAGGGCTTCAAAAATCAGAGGTCCCTCTTTGCAAGTCGCGCTAGAACAGGTAGTATTTAGAATATTGGAAACCCCACTCTGGAAACGTCCACGTTATGAAGATTCTGCAGAAGTATATGAAGGCGTGATGGGTGGAGACCGGTTGAAGCTCTGAATCCAAAACCAAAGTCCAAAGCCGTATACCCTGAGCCCAAAGCCCTAAACCCCAAGTAGTAGTTTCCATTTCATGTTCCGTTTTCTTTTCCATTGGATCCTCCATTGTTAGAAAACTATTCCACCCCCATAATCCCCATATAACAGTATCCCCCAATACCCTGAACTCTGAACCCTGAACCCTGGATCCTAAACCCCTAAACTCTGAACCCTAAACCCCAAACCCTAGAAACCCTGGACCCGAATTTTGAGGAACGCGGGGCAGACCTGACCGTTGATGATCAGCGCGTCGCCCTCTGCTGTGCTGAATGCAGTGATCCGCACCTGGGTTGGTTTAGGGTTTAGGGTTTAAGGGTTTGGGGTGAGGGTTTAGGGTTTAAGGTTTAGGGTTACGAGTTTCCGTTACCTGGTTGTAAGTTGGGCTTGAATCCCCATTACGAGTTGTCCGTTCATGCCGTTCATCTGTTTTTCCTTCGCATGGGTTGTACGTCCCTAGAACTATAACCAAATGTTGACTTCATGTTCGATTGTTGTTTCCATGTGGTTCTCCGTGAACCCTAAACTCTAAATGGTAGTTTCCATTTTCTTTTCCATTATCACTATATACCTTGAATATAACTTGGGATTCCCGTACGCACCCACATCACCCTGATGCTGCGGGCAGGCTACTTCCATGTTGGGAAATGGATAAAAAATCTCAACTCTTGTTTCTTTATTGGGCTTTCCATATTACAGCCTCTAAGCTACATTCAACTTTGGCCAATTACATTAAGGTTCAGACCCTAAAAACACTAAAAACCTAAAAACCTAAACACTTTGTTACATTACAGAGGCTTCTTGGTGGGGCTACCTAGACTTGACGTTCTTTGAAAATCTATTGCTGTGGAAAAGGCGGGATGAGAGTACTGGTCAAATACAGAATAATGTCCTCATCATAGGGTGTATATATATATATAGTCCCCCCCAAAGCCAGATTCTATCTACTTGAGTCGGACTGTATATCTGGAGTTATAGTAGGGAATAAGGGAGTATACTATATGGGGATGACACAGGGATTGTGTTTTGTTGTTGGGAGTGGCTTGAGGGGAGCGTCATAAATCCATACTGCAGTGATTCTGTTCAAGACTACCGGATTGTACAGCTAAAGCTTACCTAATACCCAAATGCCAAGCCCTAAATCCCAGACTGCGTGTTGAAGATTCGCTTCTAGGCGGCATATGACGAAACACTAGCACTCAACTAAAGATTTAGAGGCAAATCGTTGAAGTTGGTCCGCCACTTTTACGAGGTGCCTACACTAGCGTTATCCTTTCTAATAACTATGAGAGACTGTTGTTGTAGGATAATACTAGCTATAACTTGGGCGTTCCCCAACCCAGCCCTAAGCCGCATAAACAACTGTATGATCCCAGTTTAATTTCCATTTTCAGCTTATTTTTCATTGCCAGGTTACAGCTTGGATTTCCCTGAATATCCCTACATATACCCATGTTATGTAACTATATATATATATGTATACACATCTCTCTCTCTCTCTCCCCTTCCTCCCTCTCGCTCTCTCTCTCTCTCTCTCCTGGAAGGTGCGTTCAGAAATGCAATCAAGTCGCCACTGATGGCCGCGGCAGCGCTAAGGCGCAGTCCACGTCCGCAGGGTACGGCCGCGGAAATTGAGGACTTTCCTTTGCACTTTTGGTTTAGGCTTTAGGGTTCAGGGTTTCGTTGGCTTTCAGATAACACAGCCTGCCCCGAAAACCCAAAAGTTCCAGATCAAGTCCAATCGCTACACACGCGCCGTGCAAGATGCAGGGACCATCAATGGTCCAGGGCGCAGGCCCTTCCCAGAAGCCTGCAGCAGCTATGCTAATCTCCTGCCCCTAAAAAAGGCATGCCCATCACTTGTAGGGTTTAGGGCTTGAACATGTCCAAGACGGTGCCATGATTCATGAG